TAATCTGTTTTGACAGCTTAGATTATAAACTACCTGAGGACAAGACCTGTTTTTAGAATCACTATATAATAAAAGCCTGATACTTAGAAATAACTAAAAAAAGGGATCTTAAAGAAGCATAAGTTTAAAATCCCAAAAGAACATTTGCTTATATGAAAGACAATTTGCAGTAATCAGGAGGAAAAATGTTTCTAATATTAAACTAATATGAAAATAAGACAATGAATGATTGCATACACTATAGTTTTTATAATTCAATCAAATGCAGAACTAATCTCTGAAGTATGCATGAGGCTTTGCCAAGGTTTCCTAAAATGAAATCACCACATTAAAACACTAATAATGTTATAAACTAGGGTTTAAGAGTCATCTAATGTGATTTTGTCATTTAAAATGCGTTTGTCTGTATTAGGCAGAAAGGTGTATTAACTCATTCTCATATTACTGTGTTAAATGATTCTTAAAACAAAGTAATGACCAAGATCCAGTGTAAGATTCTGTGTGAAAAATAAAAGGCTAAGAAATTTTTAAATGTTTTAAATCATCACCCTAAAATTGCTTATATTAAGCATAAAGAAAATGTTTGACGTGCCAAAACACCACTGACTACTTGTTCAATGCTGAATTCTCTAAAATAATATAACTAGAAAAATTGAGATGATAGCAGATCTCCACTTGGGTACTTATTTCTTAATAGCTGCATCATTGACTTTGATTCATTCATCCTCTTTGTGAGAATTTCCTCTACATCTCATGACTTACAATGTTGATATAGTCCGAGTTTCCTTCATGCTTTAGCTTATTAATTCTCATTGTTCAAACTCTATCTAACAACATATCTATTTTATACAAAAACAGTGCTTTAAGTGATAACTTCTATCATATGGAGATAAAAGTCAGTGTTAAAATTGGTTGAATCATAAATGCCTCAGTATAGCAGAATTTTGTACAGCACTCATGTATTCCACCATACAAGAGTAAAGAGGACCCTCAAAGCCAGGCGCAGCATAAAGGCTGTATGTGTTTGCCTTCAGTATATGTGTGTAAGCAACATCTTCTCCCTTCCTTCTCTCAAAATACAATTTCCTGGGTGGGCCAGTCTCATAGGCAGGACCCCTGTCCACCCAAATTTAGGGGTTGGTTTAATGCTGTGATATGGCCATTGTGAATTTCTTAACAACTTTTCAACAGTGCACCCAGAATTTTATTTTATACTGGACACCAAAAATCAGGAAGCCAGTCTTGTATTGGGAGTGATAATCCATGATGCCATAGTATGGATTTATCTAATAATAAGTTTTCTTAATGTCAGTAGGGAATCAATCATACAATGTGCAAGAAGAACATGAAATGGTAGGATTAAAGAAGCTGGGCAAGGGCTGGGGATTTAGCTCAGGGCATAATTGCCCGCCTTGCAAGCACACAGTCCTGAGTTCGATCCTCGGTATCGATAAAAAAAAAAGAAGTCGGGCAAGTGGCAAGTTGTGACTTCAAAAGAGCTGAGATCACAAATTAGACAGTTTCTTGTGAAATAATTATTTATTGTGTACGTGTCATGTCCTGTCCTGGGTGCTGAGATGACACTAAGCAATAGAGACAAAGTCTCAGATTTCACTGTAGGGAGGAACAAGGTCTGTCTTCTGCACATGGGGACCTCATGGGGGCAGGGTTTAGAAAAAGATTTAATATATATAATGCACACAGTATATGGTGCTGTTACCTTTGGTAACCAGGCAAAATGATGACTGTTATAATTTAATTATTGCAACTAATCTTCTTTGAGTGAGACATTTCTTGACTAAAATCTATTCTCTGATAATCTCTGGTTTTCCCCTTTGGAAATTTTGAATTTCATGAATCAATATTGGTCATTTTCTTTACACTGTCACTCACAATGCAGTGTTTCAAGTTAGAAATATTACCAGCATATTTAAAAATGGATACTCATCCCAGGAGTAACCTTATAATGCTCTTTTGTTCCCTCTATTCTGAAATTCAGTTTTTGTTTCAAGCATAAGAATCATGTTCCTCACTGCAAAAAAACATGAACGATGCAAAAGACAAATTGAAGTGAAATGGAAGATGCCTGTCATGAGCGCTAGGCAAACCTTTACGCCAAGATTTGATGAGACTCCAGGAAGACAGATGTACGGAAGAGCAATGCAGAAAGGTAAAGAAATGCATTTGAGGCAAAAGGAGAACCAAGTGGAAGGGAGGAAGAGATGACGATTTTCCAAAGTGACATGGAAGAACGTTACAGCTGAATGTGCTACATGGATCCAGGAGAAAGAGACATGAGAATGGGTGGCGGAGGAGCAATAAACATGTGAGATCCACATGGTTCAGGAGGACAGAAATCCCCACCTCCAGATGTTGGTGGCAGCAGGGGTATGAAGCTAAATCCGCAGTTCTACCAGCAACCACGAGTGGTTTCATGATGGGAAGCGACATGCCTGCCGAATACTTTGGGCAAGGAGGTGCGAGGACTGTGGGCGGCCAGGGTCCTAGAGGAATGGGCCCTGGAACTCCAGCAGTATATGGTGGAGGGAGGAAATAGTATAAATGCCAAAACAAAAACAAAAACAAAACAATCAATTTTAGATGTGATAGCTAAGCTTTCATTTCAGTTCATTTTTGTGTTTTGTTTAGATACTACTTTTAAATACCTGCACTTTAGCAAGAAAGCTATCTTTTTATGGATGTTAGCAGTTTACTGACCTAATTATTTATAAATGGTCTATTTATGTAATGCAGTGTTCAAAGCAGGAGAAAAAATTTTCCTTTTTCTTTTTTCTTTTTTTTTTTTTTTTACAAACAGTTTAATGTCATCAAGTTAATGACAGTGTACATTGTGCCACTGAATTCCCAGTGTACCATTTTATATTTTGACTGTGCTTCAAATAATTAGAAGAAATAGCTATAATACTGATCTTGAATTTGCCATTCATGCTTCAATGAACATTAGGCTAAAAATTCCACATCAATAGCCTGAGCATGCTTATGCCTGAGAAAGGTATTTGTCATTTCTGGGAGTGTGTCTGGAGGCTAAGTATTGCTTTCTATTGTTTTAAAAAAGAAATACATATTGAAGTATTTCGTGGTTTATTTAGCATTATAGGGAGCAAGACGGCGCTAAATATCTTTTAAATGTTATATAGGCAAAGCTGAACTGTAAATATTCATTCAGGAATACATATTGAGATTGTGGAACTGGGTGTAAGATTGGCAGAGGGAGAAAGTATGTATGATTAAATGCATCCTTTATGGCACTCTGAACTGTCCTTTCTTTGAAAGAGTTTGAACAGTGGAAAAACAATTCTGTTGCATTTCCCCATTCTTGTTTTTAAAAGAACAAAAATCCCAAGCCCTACAAATGGCTTACATTGACCTTTTACATTTGATTTAAAGGTTGTTAAGCACACAAAAATACATCAGGTTCCCATCCCATGAGTCCTTTTAGATAAAAGAATTGATTCTTTTAACTGGATTTTATGCCACTGGTTCTGAAAAAGAGAAGGTGAACAAAAACTAGACAACCAAACAATATAAAGTGATGCTTATGATTACACCTTTGGAGCATTCTTCTCAGAAAATAAGAACAGCTGCCCATGGATCTTACTAGATTTTTCTTATTCTTATAGGAAATATCTAAAACAAATGCCAATATAGTGTTGTTTAGCACATTGATGCAGGTAACCAGTAGATATTTTTGATTGAATGAATACATAAATGGATAATAACAGATCAGACATATCAACAATCATATCCTCAATAAACCCACTGGCTAATACTATCAACAATAAATAAAGATCAATTAGATTTTTTTTTGAAAAAGTGGGGGTTTTGTAACCTAAAAAAGAGACTAATGTCCAAAATATACCAAATTTTCATCATCCTAACTTTCTTTCAAATTTATTATAGCAGATACAAATTGAAGAACCTTTAGCAAGCAGGATATTGAAAAGTAAGCATATTTTGTCAGTCTGAAGTATAAACCTATGTTCCTTAAGAATTAAAATCAACCCAGTGTGCCCTGCAATTTGGAGCCATGAAAAGGCACAAAGTCACAGACGGATAACAATATATGAGTCAAGTGCTTCCTAAGTGGGAAAGAAAAGCCAACTGTTAAACATGCATTCGAAAAGAATCTCTCTCCTACAATCATAGATATGTTCTCAGAACATATCATTCACCTGGCACTGAACAAGAATCTTCAGTTAAAACTCACTCTGCTAATATGCTGCAAAGCAAATACGGCTACCTTAGAATTCTCTGAATACGCAGTCATTGTACTTCATAGAATCACAGGGCTTAAAAACATCCTGAGAGTTAATCTCATACATTCTGCCAGAGTAAACCACCATAATTTTACTGATCTATACATTCAAAATTAATAAAGACAACATTGATAGCATCTTTTCATTTTTAATTTTTTAAAAAGGGAATTTCACTCAACCCTATTTTTGTGTTTTATTTTTTTTTTCATTGTGAATATTTTCACCATAAGTGTCTCCAAAAAGCCCATGGTGATTGTAACTTTAATACTTTTATCATTGTTTTTTGACAAGAAAATGTAATGTTATTATATATTTTATTTAAATATTCATAAATTATCTCTCAGGATTTTTTTTAGAATACAATCATCTCTATTTGTTTAAAAATGTTTCAATTTTCTAAGCATTTGTTGTTTATTAATATATCTTAAAGTTCTACATAAAATTTTTAGGTGATATTACTTAATCTAGAAGCCCAGAGATATATACATGTCTCTATCAATGCTATTAACTTTATTTGCATAATTTTAAAAAAATATATAAATCTGAATCAAATAGAAGAAACAATACCTTACAAGCTGATATTTATTGGTCAGAGTGATAGGATTTGGTTTTAGGAAATCAACACAGTAAGAATGTTCTTGCTTGACTAAAGACTCTTTTTGCCTGTTGTAAAGAAATTATTCCAAATGTGAACTTCTTCTGTATCATCAATAAGATTCTTACCTGTGCTGCTGGAAATATTAACATCAATACTGATGTCAGAAATTCCTCCTCCCTTCAGAGAGGCTACACATGTGTACGTCCCAAAATCCGTGAATTTTAAATCAATGATATCCAAGTTGGTTGTTCCAGGGGAGACATCAGGATCAGTCTGTGTAATAACCATCCGCTCAGAGCTTCTTAAAGGACGACCGTTTTTAAACCAACTAAATGTTAGCTCCTCAGAAGGGACAGCTTCTACTTGGCAAGAAATCTTCACCTCACGTCCGATCTGGATGTTGTCATCTTTGTGATAAGGATCTGGAGTGATCCAAAACCGTCCTTTTTTTAATGCTAAAACATAAAATTTCCACAAGGAGTTAGTATTACTGTGATAACTTTACTGTGATTCTAGACTATGCTCTCTGAATGGGCTAAAGTAATGTAAAACAAAACATGCATAAGTTTATTTAATATTTCTAAGCAGTGTGCACACCAATAAGTCTTACTTAGGCTATACAGAAATAATTTAATATCCTAAACCACTTAAACACTATAGCCACAGTATTTTTCATAAGTTGAGAAATATTTCCAGTGATATAAATAATGCTTTAGGTTTATATACTGAACTATACTTAAACATTGTCAACATTGATTTTAAACAAGTGATTAGAATCTGTTCATATATGCTCATAGGGAATTAAAGTTAAAAACAATAATTTGGGCCATTTAGCCTAGTGTCTTGCCCTGCCATTTTTTATTTCACAATTTCCCAAACAAATCTTGCACAAATGTTATAATAAATGAAATATTTTCTTAAGGGTTGTATTTACTTTCTGACTACAAGTAGTTCAGTAAGAATTAATCACATCTATGAGGCATTTTCAGATTTAGAAATAATATGAACTGAAGAGCAAAAGCATTTTGAGAACATTTTCTGCGAACTGCTTTATTTTACTATACATGGATATTTCCAGTTAAAACTGTTTCCAGGCTCTTGTATGCAGAGGACCAGAAGAATCTGGCAGGCAGATGGCAGATGGCTTACAACATCTGCCTTATTTAAATCTTTACACCAGTGATTTCTGGGTCTAAGGTCAGTGCTTCACTGACAACTTGGATCAGTAGTAATGACCACCAGAAAGCTCCTGGAAGAGCCACAAGCTTCCTAAGGGCCTGAACTTTGAATGACAATGTGGACTCAGTATGAAACAGTTTGCTTCCTTTTACTACTGTCTTATACACGCATTTTAAAAATTTTTCTAACATCCACTGCATTTCCTTTAATATCACCATCCCTACGTAACGGACAGTAGTAGATTCAGTGAAACACAATTACCAGAATAAAATGCTGGCCATTCACTGACCATTAAGATTCATGCATAATGGTACTGTCAAAAAAGAAAGTAAATTTAGTGGACCTTCAAACACCATAGGTCTTCTAACTATATGCTGAATAATATCTCCTGAATTCAACCAGATTTTCCTCACTCCAGAAAGGTAAAGGAAAACTATTAAATTTGAAGGCATCCATAGAATGAACTAAGATGAATACATTCTCACACCCTGAAAAAGTTACTCCTTACCCTCAAATACTTTCAACTGATTTGTTAGTTGTATCCTAGTGAGGAGAAACAACAAACATCAAAAACAATGTTTGTATCTTTCTTATATCTTAAAACACACTCTCTTTTCAGGACTAGGTACTAGATTAGTCACTGATTAAAATGAACAAAATAGACATAACCAAAGCCCCCATATTTGGATACACATACATTGTAGCCCAATTTATTCACCAAACTGGGAAGCAACATACTACATAGTTATAAAATGTTTTATATGCTGGAAGAAGTCCAAATCACAAAAAAGAACATCCAATTTTTTGTTTACAAAATGTACTTTCAGTCTTAATGAAAAATCAGAAAACAAAAGCATCACATTTTGATCTATTAGCTGTTACACTGTCCATAATAAAATGAAGCTTTCTAAATTATAGTTATTCTTGATGACACTGTTATAAGAAGTTTACTACAGGACAAAACTAGGATTAATTGTGGTGATAATTTTAGTACCAGAAATCACTTATTTATATTTTCGCAAGCACCAAAAGTGTGATTTCACAATACATTCAGAAAGGGAAACAAAATGAAAATGTCCATATTTGGCTACCATATTTGATGAATAACATTGTATACATATAATTCAAATGCAATTGCAGTTCTATAGTACAAAATGAAGTATAGAAAAATAGATTATTCTTTTATCTTCTAAATAAATCAAAGTAAATGGTATGGTAAGCATCTTTACTTCTGTTAGTACCTCACCAATGACTAAATATTTTTATTAGAATCTTCCTTATTCTGAAAGAGATATGAGAAATCTACATATTAATTTATGAAAACATTTTAAATTCTACATATTAACTTATGTATAGTAACATTATTACTGTGATGGGATTACGTATTGGGATATTTAGCATAATTATCATAATTATGTTGTATGTTGCCTGCAATATACAAACATCAACAACTGAAAGCTTTATGGGTAAGGTTTGCTGCTTACTCTGTGGCTATTGTTTTGTAGTTCTATGATCACACTCACTATTAAAGAGACAAAGACATTGACAAAATCTTAATTTCATCAGCCAAGTCAGATTTAAACTGCTAAACAATTCAATAACGACTGATTAAAAAAAACTTTCTGTGTTACAGACCCTCACATATGAGATCCACTTTCTGTGTTACAGACCCTCACACATGAGAAATAGCTTGCAAAACACAAAGTACAAAATTTAAAGATTGTAGGACTACAGTCAAGATTAAATATGATAGTTAATTATAGTATTTGATTTTAAAGTGATATAAATAAATGTATTTTAAAGAATGAACTAAAAATAATGTTATTCCTAAAAAATTTGTTCATTTTGGTATCAAAAAATTCTATAATTTCTTCTGAGTCAATCATACTGGTTTACTCAATGTCATGATTCTAAACAGAAAAAAAGGGCCTTGTTTGCTAATTGTATTGATGTTATAAAATATCAGAACTTATAGATTGTATCATTTTCTTGGAGTGCTATCTCTCTATGTCTGTTTATACTGTCTTTGAAGCAAAATAATTATGTCTTCCAAACAGAAACAGTCTGAAGAAAATAATAGGGTGCATGTGATTTTCTCAGTTCAATTGCCCATAAAAGTAAAAATACAGCACTGTAAATTAGAGCTACATGGGTACATGAGAATTTGTAATCTATATTTTCCTTTTTATGTGGTCCAACAGGGGCAATCTATTTTTTATGGGTCAAATGCATCAATTATAAAAATATGAGGTGATAGTATTAGCTCCCTCAGAACGCATTGTGAGAAATAACTTATTAACAATTGTGTTTGAGGTCTGAAAATGTAGTGTTTAATATAGTTAATCAGCCTGGAAGTAGATTCTTTCATTTATAATTAAATACTCTTTTTCAGTGAACAATTTATAGTAGTTCATGCAATGTTAATTTAAAGTCATTTCCTGCTACCAGTTAAGATTTCAAACTCAAAATCAATCTGCGATTAGAACTACGCAATAGCAGGGGTCCAATAGACTTAAAGACACTCTGTAGAACTAAAAGCATTCTTCAGGAAAAGGAAAGAGAAATCCCTTTTCCCAAATGCAATTGCTTAGCCTGAATATTGAAATTCCCCTAACATCAGCCTGAGAGAACATTAGATTTGGCTTAATGTATCATAAATTGTGATGGATGAATCTCAAAAGGTACTTGTTTAGTACTGCAGTGCATGTGAAAGATTGGCACAAAGCTAAGCCTCTGTCCTGCATAACCAATTTGGAAGCACTCCAATACAACCATAGTCTCCCTTTTATTAATATTGTGAGAACAGAATACCGAGTTGGACTACATACATTTTGACAGGTTTCTAGTGAGAATATTCTAAATCTGCTTTTACGGAGGTCTCTTGACTTTGAGATTTACAGTGATGCTCATGAATGAAAGGCGGCTTATGTAGAAAACAGAGGCCACTCACTGCAGACTTCTGGGTAAGGTTTGCTGCTGACACTTCATTGGAGGAAAAAAGTAGATTTGTGCCTATGAATTCTGTCTGCTCCACAGCAGACTTCCACTGTTGAAAACTAAGTGGCTTTGTAAGCTTAGGCTTGAAAGACAGAGTTTGAACTTGGAGTAGTTGTTTTGTGGCTTCCATAAGGAAGAGAATGAGATTGTATCTAGACTGAAGCTGTAGAATTTAAATTATAAAATAAATGACTTTATTTGTAAAATGTAAAGTATGCAATACATAAATTTCAAAAATTAAATTTTTAGACAGAACAAAAATAAATGACAACAGTGTTTTCCACTTCAATGAAAAAGTATCTCTTTGGAAATAACTATCTGGTGCCAAATTTTGGACCTCTGCTAAAAATCTGTTTCAGAAGAATGAGACACAGAATAACCCACTGATTATTACTCCGAGGCGATAAATGAAATGACTCCCCAGACACAGCACGTCTTATAATCGATAGAGTTCTGGAAATGAAAACCTTACAAATTGTTGCTGAGAGGAATAGGTGCAGAAATCATTAATAATATAATCAGATAAATTAAAAAAATGATGCTCTATTCATTTATCTTCTGCTAAAAAGAACAAAAATATTTGTATGAGAAAGGAAGTACTCTCCAGTCTCACCAGATGCCAATTGAATAAGCAGCTAGAAATAAATTATACCAGGAAAGCAACTTGAAAGGTAGTAAGTGATTTTATATATATAATCAGCCCAAATAAAATTAAGTACCTATCTCCTTAAGGAGGCTGTGAACAGCTTGAAGGAGCACATTACTCTACTGTCACCAAATCCTATACATGTTTCCATTATTTGCTCTCAATATTTCTCATTAAACTTAATTATCATTCACATTTCAGTGGTTTAACTTTACAGATGTCAACTGTTTCCATTCAGTCTGATAGGCTGTGTTAAGTTTGAGTTGGTTTTATAATCCAGTGTTCCAACACACCTTGAGAGAAATGGGAAAAAATACCCGGCACCCAAAATTAAGAAGGAAAGGTTTATTTAGCTCACTCTTTGTGGAGGTTTAGTCCATAATCAGCTGGATGCATGGCACAGGGGCAATACTTCAAATCAGCAACCAGCAAAAGCAGCCAGAGCAAAAGTGGAGAAAACAAGCGTCTTCTCTTCCCTTATATTGTACACAGGCCACTCCTCATTCCAGGGTGGGTGTAGCCCTCCCAAAATCTCCTTGGCCACCCCTTGTACAAGATGAGAATGCTTATGGGTAAGAACCCTTGCTCCCAGCCGAGTCTCTTACTTAAATCTTTGAACTGCTCAAATTAACA